AACATTTCAGAGGACACAGTGAGCCAGATCTCAGCCTGATATTTGGAAGAATATTCTAAGAATTAACACACTGCAAAAACTGAATCACCTGCTATTTGGGGTAATTATTTTTCCCCATCAATGTAGATACTCAATCAGAGGTTGGTCACTTGTTGGAGATGTTATAAAGAGGATCTTGCATTGGTGGGATATAATGGGTGCCTGCAAGATACCTCAATATATAAAGTACTGAACAAGAACCCATAACTCCTCTGTTTGGCTGAAGCTCTTCTTCCTAAAGCTGCTAAAACAGATAAAGGACTCCCTGGAAGTAACTGCATAAACAAAATCCTGTATGCCTTTTGTATAAGATGATTCAAATAGAAGGAAATTCCTATATTAAAAAGTGTATACTACATACAAGAATATATATTCTATTGTACCATATTATGATAATGCCCTTCTGGTTAAAAACTTCTTTGTCTCTGCTACCCTTGCATTCCTAAGTTCTAAGGCTTAACTCAAGCTCTCAAGGAATGATGACTTATTGGAAAATGACAAGTAGTTTGGAAGGGTCTTTTATCTCTGGAAATATGCACAAAAAGAGATCTCTGAGATCCTAACCCAAAGTGATGAGCAGGCCCCATTGCAGTTATGTTAAACTTGCAAGGTCATCCCATAGCACGTGGCAGACACCTCCCCCGCCAACTCCCATCCTTCCCCCCCCCTTCTTTGCTCCCTCAATCAATTTTAAGGCTCAACAATCTAAAAGTATAATGAGGTAATGAAATATCAGATAACATTTTGTCTCCCCACCAGTTAAAATACTAGCAAATCCAAAGTGAGATCAAGCAAGAAAAAGAAATAACTCCAAAAAGCACCTCCTACTTATAAAAGTTTAGAAACCAGGCCATCACATGTGCTGCTGCCATCCTTGTGGCTAATCCATGGATAGCACTTTTACATCACCAAAAATAAAATGTTTTTTAGGCCACTTCATAATGATTCATGAAGAATATGTTTATAGGACTAGATAAGAATATGTTTATTTTCATCTCTAAGAGTCTGTTTTGTAGGGTTTCATACTGTTGATATAAAACTATAATCCATCTACTAGGGGAATAGGTGCAGAGGTATGCAGCTTCCAACCCAGACCACGACAAGCTTTAAGTAAGTATTAAGTTCAAATACTTAGTTACCATTCAATTTGGAATGGATTAGATTTGTACATTCTTTAAAGGTAGAGCTTTATTCTTCATCTTCATATAACCAATAAATAGAAAGCACTTAATAAATGTTTGATTAATTGAGTGTAATATTCCTTTCTTTGTTTCCTGCAGCAAAGAATGGTAGTCTCCAAAATGGGGACTCTGTCTTGACCCAAAAAGGAGAGTATTCAGTCAATCAATGGGTGAGAATACAGGGCCACTTCTTACCTGGATTAACGCAATAGTCTCCTATTTGATCCTCCTACTTCAAGCCTCTCACCATTTCAATCCATTTTCTACATAGCTGCTGAAGGGACTTTTCTGAATCATATGTCAACCATATCCCTTCTCTATTAAGTAAATTCCAGTGGCTCCCTATTGACCCTAGGATCAAATATTTACCTCAATTGCCTTATTTCCTTTTTAATTTTTTGTGTTTTATAATGTACATAATTTCTAGTGTAATGATACTAAATATTTTATAAATAAATAAATGTATATTTGGGAATGAAGACATAAAGTTGTTGGGTTTTGTTTTTTTTTTTACTAATCAAGTGCATGACCAAAAAAGTTTGGAGATCACTGGCATAGAGAAAAACTAGAAGGTCTTAAAAAAGAATATGTCAAAGAAAAAAATGGATGTCTTCTCTCTAATCCTCAAACCCTCCCATATCTTATCTCTTCCTTTATTCACGGAGAGAGTCAGTCTGGCTCCTCACCATCCTAGCTCTGCACACCTTCCAACACCACCATTCTGCCCATATAAGAGAAAGGCTGTGAAACTGTTATAAACATCACTATGAAAGAAACTATGGAAACCTGGACTTTAATTCCTGGTGAAAATATGGCACCAAGCCATGATCAATTAGATTGCATGTACCAAATTATATTTAGGTGTTCATGTCTTTAAATTTTTTTCTAAATGTGTATCATCCTTTAAATATGGTGTTCTTTATTTTTGCTGCAACTGTTTTAAAGGAAATGATTTTTGTTTTGTTTTAAAGGATAACTGAGTCGAAAAGATCATTTCTTTTTCAATTAATAATACCTATATGACTGAGGCTTGACTGTCCGAACAAAAATGGTTATAACCAAGGCATTACTGTTCACCTTCTGGCAGTGTACTTTGATTACAAGCAAGACAATCAAGAGGAACTAATAGTTTTTTGAGTGCTGAATTTACAATCTAAATATAAAACAATAACATTAACAACATACTTGTAGTGAAAGTGAGCCTCAGGCTTTCACCCTCTTAAAGGTGCTAACTATTTTTTTTTAGGTGTTAACTATTTTTGTTAATACATAATACATACATCTTTTCAAAAAAGTGTCAGCCATAAGGGCAGCTAGATGGCACAGTGGATAGAGCACAGCCCTGGGAGTCAGGAGGACCTGAGTTCAAATGTGATACTGACTAGCTGTTTGACCCTGGGCAAGTCACTCAACCCCAACTGCTTCATCAAAAAAAAAAAAGTGTCAGCCACCTTCAAAATGGAAGCCATATATTTGTACTGTAGTGACTCTACTTCCTGGCTATCCTAAGCCATCCTATACTTTCCCTTCCTACTACTCCCAGCACCCATATTGCCAAAATGTTAACTCCTTCTAAACGCTATTCCAACATATTGTAGCATCACTCTTGCTCTGGTCTGTTTCTTCCCTATCTCCTTTCACTGAGTCCCATGGAGACCCTTTTCTATTGCAGGGAAATTCCTCTTTATCCTTCCATGTTTTTGTCACTTGTTTCCACTCTCATTTCCCTGTTAATGGACACCTGGCTTCCTCTAAACGCTACGTTTCTTCATTACTCTCTTCCCATTGTAGCTTCACTATTTCTCACTAACTTCAAACCAATGTGCAAAGGGAAACTGGCCTCTTTCTAGGCCTTCATATCACTGCCAGACCACTGAGAAACTGCCACCATTTTCCTCCTCTTCATCTGAAATACACAGAAACTCCAACTGTCTACTGGACAACTTGAATTAGATGTTCAATAGACATCTTCACCTCAACATGCCCCAAACTGAACTCATTATCTTGCTTGTCAAACCTTCCCCTTTTCCTAACTTCTCTATTATTTTTGAGGGTACCACCATCCTCCTAGTCACCTAGATTTAGACCCTAGGAGTCATCCTCAATTTCCTACTTTCTCTCACCACCCTACCCCACCACATAGCCAATATTTTGCCATGGTCTGTTGATATTACCTCTGTAATATCTCTTTCATATTCCCTTTTCACTTTTCTGATGCTGGTACCACCTTGGTGCAGGCCCTCACCATCTCACACGTGGATTATCAAACTAGGCTGCTGGTTGGTCCCCCTATGCATGCCAGTCCTTTGTCCACTCAGTTATCAAAGTGAGCTTCTCAAAGTGTAGTTCTGATCATGTGTCCAGTGACTTCCTCTGTGTGTGTGTGTGTGTGTGTGTGTGTGTGTGTGTAAAAAATTCTCTGTTTGGCATTCAAAGCCTTTCATAACCTGGCTCCTTCTTATACCTTATACTCTCTACCCTCCATAAGCTGAGATCCAGTCCCATTGGCCTCACTGCTGTTCTTCCCACGTGATACTCCCATCTCTCTTTTTTTGTCTTCCTGTGATATAATATTATCTTAGTCCTAACTTTTTGACCATTCCTTTCTTTTTTTTACGGGTTTTTCTCAATGTTTTTCTCTTTATTTTCTCCACTAAAGAACTTATTCATTCTTATATTTTTCAACTCTTATCTTTATGTAGAAATTTATAATTCTAGTATTATCCTCTGACCTGAGCTCTAGTATCACCAGATGTCTACTAGACACTTCAAATGTAAATGATTCAACTAATATTCCTTGAAAAACATCTGCTCTGTTCTGATTTTGTTTCTGTTAATAGTATGGCCATTCTCCCAGTTATGTAGGATGAAAGCCTTAAGAGTTAGCTGATGCCTCCCTCTCCTTGCCACAGCTAATCAGTTCATTTTTTTATCCAAAAAGTATCTCTGTCACATTCTTTCTTATCCATTCCTACCGCCACCATTTATAGTCCAGGTTTTCTTTAACTCACTCTTTGATTAGTAACAACACTTATTAGCTTAATTATCCTCTGGGCAAGGTACTTAATCTCTGTTTGCCTCAGTTTCCTCATCTATAAAATGGGGATAATAGTAGCACCTACGTCTCAGGATTGCTGTGAGGATCAGATGAGATAATATTGTCAAGCTGTTAGCACAGCGCCTCATACATAGCAAGTACTATAGAAATACCTGCTATTATTATTAGCTACCTAGTTGGAATCCCTGACTCTAGCTCTCCCTGCTCTAATCCATTTTGCACGTCACTACCAGATTTACTGTCCCAATACACCACTTTCATTATGTCATTCCTTCTGTAAAAACTATAAATGGCTCTCCAGTGCCAAGAGGGATAAAACCAAAACTACTTAGCCTATTCCAGATACTCCATAATCTGATCCTACCCTATCTTTCTACCCTTATTTCCTATTATTCACCAACCCCAACTTCCCTTTCCACCATTAAACCAGTCTATTATTCATCATCTCCTAAATATACCTCCCACCTCTGTGATTTTGCCTCTCCACTGCTTCCAACTAGAGTACAACCATCACTGTCTACCTTTCCTAATCCTACCTGTCTCCAGGGAGACAAACTTTCTTTGTAAAGCTTTCAGTAGCCACCCTAACCTTGTAACACTTGGTGTCTATGCACTTATGTGACATTTATCTTAAACTGACTTTAAGTGCATCCAGCACTGTGATCTGATCATCGTAGGCACTCAGTAAACAACTACTCCTTGGCTGCTTATTTTTTTCTTACCTGTAATATCTGGACTGAAGATAGGTAGAACATACAGCCTTTGACACATGGCTAGCTGAACCAAAATCGATGACCTTAACCCTGTATGGCTGTCTGGATGGATCAACCAGCATAATGTTCTCTGGCTTGAGGTCTGCATGGATAAGACCCAAGCTCTTTAATTTCATCAGGGCTGTGGCTACCTGCTGGAGGACAGGGCGGATGTATTTGAGGGGCAAGGGACTAAACTTGTTCTGCTTCAGGAAGTCATAGAGGTTCTGTTCTAACATTTCAAAGACTAAGCAGGTATGATTTTTATGCTGGAAGCACTCATAAGCTCGGACAAAGTTGTAGTCATCTGCGCTCTCAGTACTCAACCGGGCCAGGATGCTCACTTCAATCTGACCCTGCCGGGCATAAGATGGGTGGTTCTTCAAGATTTTGATAGCAACAATTTCGTTGGTGCCACGTTTCCAGCACTTGACTACTTGTCCAAATGTCCCTCGACCAAGAAACTCTAAGACCTCATATGTGTTAGTCATGGAGCAAAGAACCTCATGCTGGACTAGCTGATAATCACCTTCGCTGTTGGAGCCACTATTTTTAGAGGTGGCAGTAGATGTGGTGGCAGTGGCTACAGTGGCCCCACTTGCATTATTTTGAATCATGGGTGGGTGTTCTTCAATGATCTGTACGCTGCTTGTGTTTTCAATCTCCTCACTCTTACGCTTGAGTCCACATTTTTGGTAGGTGTCAAGAAGACTCACAGTGCTTCGACGCATTAGGTTGTGTGGTCCACCAAGGGCTTGCCCAGAGACAGAAGTGCTACTTGCAGATGTTACTACGATGTGCCCAGTGCTTCCTGGAAAGATGATGGTCTGCTCGTAAGGTAGGCTGGGGTTGGGGATTTGCAGGGAGGTGCTGACAGTAGTGGCGGCTGGTTGTGAGGGCTGTACGTTTTTGCTCTGGCTGTAGACTTTACTGTGTGTGCCGTACCCGGTCATATCCCAGTTGGAACTTGGTTCCACTTTAAGTTTCTTCACACTACAGAAGGCACTTGATTGAAGGGTGTGAGGGGAGAAAACTTGCACGTGTGAGGCCATACCTACAAGAAAAAGGAAGGGAAAGTATAAAAGCTATTTAAATCTATTGTACCACAAGTAAGTTTAGATAAACCATTTCACTTTTAATGGTTTGGGTCATATGGAACATCTTTCCCCACTGATAAAAATAAGGAATTGATGACTCTAAGCATTTCACCTGCCATCACCAAAAGAATTAAAAAATTTTAAGAGTGAAGCTAAAGAGGACTGCCAAGATGTGGATATGGAAGAAAGTGAATAGATCCAGGCTTATTTTCTTCCACTAAAGTCTTATTCCAATGCTTCATCATGTCATGAGGGGAACCTTAGATTCTCTAAGGCTTTGCCAACAAAGTACATGTTTTAACATGTGTTAATGGAGTGTCTCTCCAATTTGTTACAAATGAAAGCCTTATTGGTCTATTTGACTAGACTCTACTCAAATATAGAGTAAGTCAGGCTCACAGTTGCAAAGTAAGATTAGGAATTCAGGGTTAAAACTACCAAGTTAAATTGTTTTTAGAAAAAAAAAATGGCTCTGATTAGGCTATGTTAGTATACAACCCACAAATTAGTACTTTTTTGATTGTATACTTTTTTCCCTTTTAGGTAGAACTTCAGAGAATTCTGTAGTCTGCTAGTCAGCTAGTTGATCTGATTTAGTAATTAAGGTTGCCACAAATACTAGATTAACTTCTTTCTTTCATTCAATGCTTTTGGTTGAATAGAAAAGAATACTACCTTGACATCTGTTGGCTGACTTTTCATTATCATAAAACTAATGCACCAACAAATTTTACAGACACACAAAAAAACTCTGGCCCTTTCCTACTGGTATGCTTACTTTGATGTAACAAAACATAATAACTATTTTAAATTATTTTTCTCCTTTCTCATGCTTTCACAAAGGGAGGTTTGGCAGCTGACAGAAACATTAAATGAGAATATAAGTTCCCTTGTAAATTCTTAAGGAAAAGGGTAGTAGAAGATTGTGAGTTCTATCCCTTCAGAAAAGAGAGAGGGAGAGAAAAAAAAAGGTTGAAGAGAATTTGGTAAGAGATCTAAGCAAACAAAGTCAATGAAGGAACTGGAAGAAGGATGGAAAAGACCAGCAAAGATTTTTATAACAAATTCTTTTCACTATCAAGGCCAGTAGAGCTACCATATGTAGGCTCTAACAGTTCTGAATATTCTATTACAGGAAACAAAAATAGTACTGAAGAAAACAAAGACGGAAAAAGAAGATAGATTAGACCAAATATAGACAGAGGAGCTATCTTGGAGGCAACACAACTGTGAAGGTGTTCAGTGATTCTTAAGGTATCAAAAGAAGGAAAAATACTAAAGGCATGGAAACAATCTTAGCCCTTATTACTACCAAAAAAAACACTAACAAAAGAATCTCAATAACTATATATTTTTACACACACACACACACACACACACGCCCTCTTATGGGATCATTCTACATAGACCAGCCCTGAGAGCACCTCTAATGAAGATATTAGATGGCAGTGAGGCAGCATCGTATAGTGACAATCAAATAGCATTTTATAAAGCATCTATTACATGTCAAGCTCTGTGCTAAGCACTGAGGATATAAAGAAAAGACAAAAAATAATCCTTATTCTCAAGTACCTGAGAGTCAGCCAGGGGAGACAAGATATAAACAACTGTGTACAAACAAGATATATTCAGGATAAATTGGGAATAATCTTAGAGGGAAGGCATTAAAATTAAGGAGACTTAGGATATACTTCTTATAGAATGTGAGACTTTAGCAGAGACTGATGGGAGACTGGGTAACTTGGAAGCAGAGATGAGGAAGAAGAGCATTCCAGGCATGGAGAACAGCTGGTGAAAATGCCCAGAGCTGGTAGATGGCAGTGTCTTTTCAAGGAGGCCAGTGTTACTGGATCACAGAGTACGCAGAGGGAAGTAAGGTATAAGAAGACAGGAATGATTAGAAAAGGCCAGGTTATGAAGGTCTTTGGATGCTGAACAAAAGATTTTATATTTGGCCCTGGAGATAACAGGAAGCCACTAGAGTTTACTGAATAAGGGGGTGATGTGGTCAGACCTGCATTTTAAGATCAATTTGATAGCTATATAGAAGGAGTGGAATGGAGGGAGACATGAGGCAGAGACCAACTCTCAGGCTATTGCAATAGTCCAGGTGTAAAGTGATGAGGGCCTGTACCAGGATATTTGTATTGTCAGAAGACAGCTGTACGGGAAGGTAAGGAGTCAAGGGATAACCCTCAGCCTGTAAGCCTTGGTGACTGGGAGGATAGTGGTACCTTCAACAGTAATAGGGAGGTTAGCAAGAGAGGAAGGTTTGGGAAGTAAAGATAACAAATTCAGTTTTGTACATGTTGAATTTAAAATCTCTAAAAGGCAGCTGGAGATGTGAGACTATTGTTCAGGTGAGAGGTGATGAGCTCACTAAGTGAAACAGTATAGAAGAGGGCCCAAGACACAGCCCTGAGGAACCCCAACTGTTAGCAGGCATGATATAAATGAAGATTCAGCTAAGGAGACAAAGAAGGAACAGTCAGGTAGAGGGAAAACTAGGAGAGAACCTAGAAACAAGAATACCAAGGAGAAGCTGATCAACAGTGCCAAACATGGCAGAGAAGTGAAGAAGGATGAGGACTGAGAAAAGGTTACTGAATTTGGCAACTAAGAGGTCTCATGCATAGAAAACTGGCCTCTGATGCAAGACCCAGGTCCTGAATCTGACACAGGTGGACTGTAGGAACCATATCATCTTTCAGGACAGCAAATAACTCATTAAGACTATAAATGCTGGTTAAGACAGACAGAGATCTCAGTCACAGGAATAGATTAGATATATAACAGAAAGGAGAAAATGTATCTAATACCCAAATATCCCATAAACACAAACATTTCATCTACTGGGATAAGGACTCATTATTTGACAAAAAAAGGCTCAGACAACTGGTGGGCAGCATGAAAAAATGTCACACTTTACCCCAAGATAAACTGCAAATGGATACATGACCTAAATATAAAAAGAATGCATCATAAACAAATTAGAGAAATATGGGGAAAATCAACTAGTTGATCTATCGATAGAAGAAAAGTTCATGACCAAGCAAGGTATAGAGAAGATTACAGAAGATAAAATAGATAATTTTGACCATGTAAAACTAAAGTTTTTGCAAGAGCAAATCTAGTAACAACAACAATAATCATGGGTTTTATATATGTTTTATTTATATAGTGTTTTAAGGTTTTCAAAGCATTTAACAGAAATTACCTTATTTTTTTATGACAACAACCCTGGGAGATAGGCATTATTCTCATTTCGAAAATGAGAAAACTGAGGCAAACACAGGTTAAGTAACTTGCCCGAGGTCACATAGCTAGTATGAGTCTGAGGCTGGCTCTGAACTCAATTCTTCCTGACTCTTGGTTCAACACTATTCAATGTACCACTTAGCTGCCTATACAAAAAAAGCTAAGATTAAAAGAGTTATAATTAACTGGGGGGAAAAAATCTTTGCAGCAGATTTCTCTGATAAAGGTCTCATTTCCAAAGAATGAGTTCAAAGTTATAAGAATAAGAATCATTCCCCTACTGACAAATGGTTGAGGGATATGAATAGGCAGTTCTCAAGGCAAGAAACTCAGGCAACCAATAGCTATGTGAAAAAAAAAGTTTCAAATTACTACTAATTAGAGAAATGCAAATTAAAATAATTCTGAGATTCCACCTCACACCCATCAGTTTGGCAAAGATGACAAAAAAAGAAAATGACAAATCTTGGAAGGGCCGTGGGAAAACAGGTGCATTGATATACCATTAGTGGGCTTATGAATGGATACAGTCATTCTGGAAAGTTAATTTATAATTATTCATAAAAAGTTACTAACAGTGAATATTCTTTGACCTATCTATATCACTGCTGTTGGGCTTATACAAAAAAAAGAAAAAAAGAAAAAGGGTCTTATATGCACAAAAATATTTATAGTGGCTCTTTTTGTGGTGGCAAAAAACTGAAAACTAAATGGATGCCCATCAACCAAAGAACTGCTGAATAAACTATGGTATATGGATGTAATGGAATATGGTTGTGCTCCAAGAAATGAGGAAATAGATGATTTCAAAGAGATACTGAAAGAATTATATGAACTGATACAGAGTGAAGTAAGCAAGCCCAGAACAATTTACATTATAACATCAATATTATTTGTTCTAAGGAATTTTTTATCTTTTTTTCCCCCCAATGTAGTGGGAGAGAGAAAACAACTTGTTATTTAAAAAAAGAGGAGAGGTGCTAGGAGTTCTACAGATGTGAAATGTTGCACGTACTTTCACATTTGGTCACTATTTTGTTAGTTTCACTTGTTTTTGAAGAAATACTCTACATTAGACCACATCAACACATGACTGAATGAAAGATATAGAGAATGTAAAATCCTAATATGCTTACTCTCCATTATTAGGAAAAAAAATTTTTGATTCAGTAGAGTAAAACATTGTATTAAAGCTTTCCTCTCCACTAGATATCTCTCAGGAATTAGTCAAAATTACAAAAAATTCCTTGAAAGATATAGTAGAGATAACCTTGTTTGATGCCCTTCAAATGATAGGCTTAAAATTAGGAGATGTATTATTACCAAAGGCATTCACCATTGTCATGGAAAAGATCTAAGACCAAGTCCAAGTTAAAGAGAGATTCTCCATATGTAGATGGCAAAGCCTTTCAGCTACTTCTGTTATATGGCTGATTGCATCAAGTCCTGCAACAGTGCAGAGCCTCCTAAATGAGATTCGTAATTTTTCAAAATAATTGCACTTGATTATCCACATAGGAAAAAAAATGATAAAGAATGTCTAATATGCAGACTATGGAAACATGTAGAAAGGAGGACCTATAGAGCTCATCCATCAGTACATATAACTTTGACAAATACCAGAAATGGATAAGTTGGCCCAGAATTGAATAAGAGGATAAAAAGCAAGCTGGACTGCTTGTGCAAGGTTGTTGTTTTT